AAAGAGAGAGCGAGAGAGACAGAAATAGAGACAGAGACCGAGACAGAGACAGAGTACCTCAGTGGCAAATTTCATAATCCTTGAAAGTATTGTATTGATCCAGCCTTCATCTTCAACCAATGTAATGCAATTCAGAGAACTGAAAGTAAAATCATAAATATTGGCAAATCTGTTTCTCAACTTTGAGGGATCCGTTAACCTTTTCAAGGAAGTACAATGATTTACATTTACTTGTAATTTGCTATTTGACGGAAGATCTGGCAGTTCTCAAGTTTTTTGCAATTGTGCAAGTGAAGAGACTCAAGTCGAGAAAGGCATTTGATGCTTGCTGGAAGGGTAACAAAATTGTTCACACTAAGATCTAAATATCGTAAAGAGGACAAGCTACCAATATCATGGGGGATGTCACCTTCACCAAGATCACAATAGCATAGTCGTAAGTCTTCCAAACAACGCAAATGATTTAAAGAAGACAACACCAAACCCCAACAAGGCTCATGGCTCCTTCTAATTCCAAATAAGCGGAGAAGGCCCCACTTGTCCCTTGGCTTGCCAATTGATCCACAAGCGCACAGCGTTTTTGATTTTTCATATCAACAAGCGGCTCTCTTGCGTTTCTCCCCATATCAAGTTCCTCTAAAAACTCCATTTTCCCTGGGAGTTTTTCGATTTTCGAACTTCCCATGGCCCACAGCTTTTTAAGAGACTTCAAATTACAAATCTCAATAGGAATATCCGAAAGATTTATGCAATTACTAATACCCAGTACAGTAAGTCCAACCAGGTGTCCAATTGTTGAAGGTAATTTCTCAATAGCAGTCCCACCTAATAAAACCTGGGACAAATTTTTCATCTGGTGTGAAAATTTTGGAATCTTTTTCACTCTGGAGCATTCAGTAAGATCTAAACGTTCAAGAATTCATTGAATATATTCTTACCTCTTTTCCTTCCCAAAGCCGAACAAGTTTGCTATGATGCATTTTTAGTTTAGTTAGGAAACAGGGGTGAAAGCTTGGTGGAAGAGACTTGGAAGGATACAAACTCCAACTCATAATTCTCAAGGAATATGGAAGAAATTTGGGACCCAAAGAAACGATCAAATTGTCAAATTCTAGAAACCTCAGTCCAGACATGTTAGAGAAGGCTTCGCAATTCCAGTGCACCTCTTCTATTTCGGGTAATTTTAGGTCTATGCCTTCAATAGCTCCTGTCCCCTAATAACCAAGAATGTAGGAAATGTCAATTTCACATTTAGTATCGTGCTAAAAAAATAATATATTCTATTGAACTTGGTAATTTTTCATAACTTCTTGCTGTATTGGTCATGAAAACATGAAAAATGTCATTGGGAAGCCACAACCTACTCCGCCAGCCAGGCTCTTTAGACTCGTTACCAACAATTCTCCATGCCATTTCTTGTATCAAATCATGCATCCCTATCTTGCTGTACTTGACTGAAGTATCATACAGGAAGCATTTTTCAGAGGTTAGGAGAGATTTCTCAATTAGAGCATCTATCAAGATCCGGCTTGAAATATCAAAGGAATTGTCTAGTATTTCAATTAGACTGTGCACCTAAATTGAATCCAATGTGAGCATATGGTGCGGGAGGTAACATTATATACAGGCATGTGCCATATCCTTGGCTAAATCACAATCACCTAGGGTGCAAGTTTATGAGCTCTCAATCACATCTCACATTATCAATATCTCATATAACAAAACATAACTCACCTGGTACTTACCTGAGTGTCCATAACACCAATTCACATTTATGCATACAATTCTAACTCATGGTTTAAGCATAATTCAATAGGCATGGCATTTTCAAGGCATACTTTCATTTTAACACATTTTCTAGGAAAATATCAAGTATATAAGTATATACTGAAAACCAAAAGTCCACTCACTGGTATGTCGAAGGGTCGTAGCCCCCGAGTCGCCCTTGACTGCGCTCGTCCTCTAGGTAGGTCTCACCTATATACGAAATAACTGAATAAACGTTATTTAAAGCACATACACAAAATTAGTTAATAACTTCTCATATATTGCTCAAATGGGATGTTTGAATATACCAACGTGATCTACACAACCTCACGAACATCCCCATATTTTTAGAAAAAATTTCCGACCACCCACGCGCCGACGGAGGCACAGCCCTACGCACCCCCACGCGCGGCCAAACCTTAACTGAGGCCTAACGGCCGTTAAGAATATTTCGTTAAAATCAACCAACGCCGTTAGTCACCGTTAGGAATATTCCGTCAAAGTTGACGAAATATTCCGTCATCCCTTACCTTCGAACTTCGACGACCGTCGCTGTCGCCGAAAACTGGAAAATCTTAAAATCCTTATATCATAGTCATTTCTTAACTAAAACTCATGAAATTGGTCTCAATTTAAAGCTTATAACTAGAAGAACACATCCCTACCCATTTCAAGGCTTGAAATCCACGAAAATTCGCTAGAGAAAGCTCGATAATCCGGCGAAAACTTAAAACTTGACGAACTCGATTTCCTGACATCCAAATTGCTTGGGTTTTCTTCTCCGAGCTTCGTGAAGATGATCCAAAGCTCCCTATGTCCTTCAAAACTCCTAAAAACCTCACATTAATTAGTGCATGAACAGTGCATGAAATCTGGGGTTAGAGTTCTAGGGTTTTAAAGCTTTCAAGTTTTAAAAATAACATATATGAACTCAGAGGCTTGTAAGAAGTTCGAATCTTACCTTCTTGACGTCGATCCGCGTCTGAATGAGAGGGTTCAAGATTTGTCCATACACTTGTACGGACGTTGCAAAAAAATCGAAAGGGAGAGGAGAGAGAGTGCACGGGGGAAAGGTTGAGTGTATGTGTCGGTGTGTGGTGGTCCTACTTGGTCTTCCAATACACAAAACAAACACTTTAAGTCTTAAGTGTTCCAAAAACTTAGGAAAATCTTTGAATTAGTCCAAATAAAACTTAACCCACATAACCACACAAAACGTCCAAGGGTAAATAAGTAATTTCACGCTGTCGAAAATAAATATTTCGGGACGGGTTGTGACAATTTGCCTCTGTCTCCAACCGAGGGCCAAAGGACCAAAGGGCTCATTTTAGCTCTATCACAAAAAACCATCTCCAACCGAGGACCAAATGACCATAGGGCCAAACATAATTTATTATTTAAAAACTGCAACTTAAATGTTGTTTAAGTTTTCATGTTGTTAAATGTTTTTTTTATGTTGTATAATTTTTATGCTGCTTAATGTTATTTAATGTTGTTTCATATTGTTTAATGTTGTTTCATGTTACTTAATTTAATTTAATGTTGTATAATGGCTTCGGAAGTTATAGGAAAAAAATAGAATTAAAAAAATATATGAAACAAATTTTGTGAAATAGAAGTTATAGGAAGAAAAAAAGAATTTAAAATAAAAAGAAACAAATTTTGTGAAATAGAAGTTATAGGAAAAAATGGAATTTAAAAAAAATATGAAACAAATTTTGTAAAATAAAAGTTATAGGAAAAAAATAGAATTTAAAAAAAATATGAAAAATAAAAGTTATAGGAAAAATTTTGTAAATAAAAAATAATAATAAAATTGTTAAAAAAAAATTCAAAGCATTACTGTCGGTTCTAATCAACAGGATTTCCATTTTTTCTAGCCAGCCTTTTCTAATTTCGTGGGGTCCTCTCAGATTCCACAGCCCTTTAGCCTAGCCCTCGGTTGGAAACGGTTTTCGGGCTATTTTCGGCCCTCTGGCCATCTGGACCCTTCAGTTGGAGATGGCCTTAGTGCATACAAATTTCTTTCTAAACTTGTATATTACTCAAGCTAGCATAATGTGCTCCAGTTTTTTGTACTCAAGTTCGAATCTCTTCCAATAATTTAAGATGAATTTAGTATAATTTTATCGTATGGTTTCTAAAAAATCTAGAAAGAAAATTAGATAACGTAATTTAGGTTTAGTACAAAATACAAGCGAGTTGTAATTCTCATTTCCATATTCAGGAATCAGGATACAGGTACCTATCGGCTACGAAATTTGGAAAAATAGTCCAAATTTTTAACCAACTACTATAATTATTCATAATTCTAATCAAAACTTGATATGAAAATACTACAAAACCCTTTATTAACTAATATAATTGCAATGCCCTTGATTAGCCCTCTTCTTTGAGAATTCCTTTCAATTTTGTCTCGAAGCACGAACGCCCGCCCAGCTTACACGACCAACACAACAATTTGTAAAATCTGTAATCCACCCTTTCTGAGCTAATTGGATCATAAAATGGCGAAGTCCCACAAAATTAATGAGACTTGTCAAAAGAACTGAACCCCTCGCATGCACTGAGACAAGCCACAAGCCGGATAAATGACATACGGTATTACATTATTTATTACTACGTAGTTACTTCATGACAGAACACACGACTCCGACTATCTGCAGTGTCACTTTAACCAGCACCCGCAGCTCAATCCGCTGCCAATTCTTTCCCATGCACTACCTCCTCAGAAGCTCCTTTGAAGTCGAGATGTTATGTACTCCAGACTCCAGTGCTCACCAGATAGCTCTTCACTTTCGAAAAAACCAAAGGAAACCCATCGAATGAAAAACACATCAACTCTTGGAGATTTTCTTTCTATGTGAAACCTCATAAATAAACCGGATTTTCTTCTTCTTTATTGATTTGGATGGTGATAGATAGTGGTTTAATTGGGAATAGATGGTGGTGGGGTGGCGTCAGTTGGGTTTAATTGATTGGTGGGTGGGATGACAGTGGTGGTGCTGGGTCTGATAGTGGCGGCGATGTACTTGATGGTTGAGGTTCTGACGGTGGTGATGGTATTCTCGGTGACTCCACCGACTCAAGTTGCCAGCTTTAACAATTTTTAGTTAACAAGGGTGTTTGAGTACTTTTATGTCAAAATATGGTTAAAATGATCAACAACATAATAATTGGCTAATCCAATTCATGGTCCTTATTTTGGTTATTTTTCGAAATTTCCCCTGCCGACCTCACTTGTTCAGCCAAACCGACTTCCCACACTTTCATTTTTCATGGCGCTCACACCTCGTAGTAATCGTAGTCGATAATAAAAGCACGCCTCCACCTCCACCTCCAAACAGAGCCAGAGCCAGCCATGGAGGGCAGACTCTCAGCCTCTCTGGGCCTCCCTGCACCCAATCAAAACCACCACTCTAAGTCCCCCAATGACTTCCAAAACCTCTTCACCCATTTCATCACTCCAAATTCCCAAACTACCCTCACCCTCACCCCTACAGAAAACCACATCCCATTCTTTGCCTCCACCTCCTCCACCCCCAATTGGGCCTCCATTACCCGACCCAGTACCCGCCCCAAGACCCAAGTCTTACTCAAGAATCTCACGGTCTTCGAGCGTGCCCTCATCGGCGCAGGCGGCGGTGGTATCGCCGGAGCCTTCACCTACTTCTGCCTCCACCCTCTGGACACCATCAAGACCAAGCTCCAGACCAAAGGCGCCTCAGACATTTACGCAAGCACCTTCGATGCAGTCCTCAAAACATTCCAGACCAAGGGCATTTCCGGGTTTTACAGTGGCATCTCCGCGGTCATCGTCGGCTCCACCGCCTCCTCCGCCGTCTACTTCGGCACCTGCGAACTGGGTAAGTCGGTTCTCTCCAAATTACCCAACTACCCTCCCGTCCTCATCCCTCCCACGGCCGGAGCCATGGGAAACATAGTCTCTTCGGCTATAATGGTGCCCAAGGAGCTCATCACGCAGCGGATGCAGGCCGGGGCCAAAGGGAGGTCGTGGCAGGTGCTGCTGAAGATCCTAGAAAACGACGGCGTTCTGGGTTTGTACGCAGGGTACTCTGCGACATTGCTGAGGAACTTGCCTGCGGGTGTGTTGAGCTATTCTTCGTTCGAGTACCTGAAATCGGCGGTTCTGAGCAAGACGAAGCAGACCAATTTGGAGCCGATTCAGAGCGTGGTGTGCGGGGCGTTGGCCGGAGCAATTTCGGCCTCCATTACGACGCCGCTGGATGTGGTGAAGACGAGGCTGATGACTGGTGCTAGGCAGGGTGGAGTTTCGGGGACGGTGAAGCAGATTATAACGGAGGAAGGGTGGGTGGGGTTCACTAGAGGAGTGGGGCCTAGAGTTCTTCACAGTGCTTGCTTTTCGGCTTTGGGTTACTTTGCTTTCGAGACTGCCAGGCTTGCCATTCTGAATCAGTATATTAGGAGGAAGGAGTTGCAGCAAATGCAAGAGTCAGGTGTCGATGTTGGTGTTGCTTCCACCTGATGATTTCATGTATCCATTTGGTGAAATCTTCTCCTCTTTATCCTTTTTTAGGTTTCAATTTTGTTTCGTTTTAACATTAGATTCTTAATGCAAATTTTCGTATTCCTTTGTTCGATTTGGATACGATATCAGTAATCATATATATGTTTCCTTCCGAAAATAATGAAGGTTTTGGTTGGTGTAGAATAATTTTGTTAAGTACTGCTAGACAGCAACATATTGAATTGAAGGCTAGATAAGTAACAATGTATTATGAAATCTCAGTGATGATACGAATGTCAGTGATGATAAGTAACAATGTATTATGAAATCTCAGTGAAGACAATGTGCAAGCTGTCTTCGCCTCTATACAATCCGACCATGTATGTACAGAAGACAGAGTCTGGGATCGAGAATGTCAGATCTTCTGCCAGGAGGAAATTCCAACTTTTAATTATCTAAGCTGATTAGCCATCCAAACAAGTTACTGGTAATTATAAAAACAAAACCATCCAGGTAACATAGCTTTAGAACTTTTAAAAAAATCAAGTGCCCCCATCTGGAAACCAAAATTAAATTTTCATTGTTTGGAAAGCAAAAGTCAAAGGAAAGGTGCTTGTTGAGAGCTTCTTCAGAGCTAAAACAGAGGGGGTAGATGTGGTTCCTGCTCCAACACTCGTTCTCATGAAAGTCAAAGAGCGTCACCCCTTCCTCTGTTCTTCTTAGGTTTCCCCTGCATCTGATCTCCCTCTCTCCATTGTTTCTGTTCCAAAAAACTCCATCAAGGTATGATTCTCTTCGTTTTGGTGTCATTTATCATCTTTTTGTGTATTAATTGATTGTCTTGAGCAGATTGCGTATCATGTAATGTTCCAGACTAGCTTAGTGGTAAAGGAAATAGGTGATACAATGCCTTCTCTTTTCCTTTCTTATTTTTTTTTTTATTTTTTATTTTGGTCTGGAAGCTTTTGTTCTACGAACCAGTTTAGAAATGATTCGATGGTAATGATCATTATTTGACGCAGATTGCTCAGGATCACCTTGCAATGGCGTTGAGCAGAGTTTCCGCACCTACTTCCTCAGATCATCCATGGAAATACGATGTGTTCTTGAGCCTTAGGGGTGAAGATACCCGCAAGAACTTTACAGATCATTTATATGAAAAATTGAAAACTAAAGCAATTAAAACTTTCAGAGACAACCTGGAGCTTGAAAGAGGTAAAAATTTCTCCTGATCTATTGCGCGCAATAGAAGAATCAAGGTTGGCCATCATTGTTCTCTCCGCGAATTATGCTTCATCCTCCTGGTGCTTGGATGAACTTTAAAAAATTGTTGAATGCATGGAAGCTAGGAATGCAATTTTGCCAATATTTTATGATGTGGATCCCTCCAATGTTCGAAACCAAATGGGGACTTTTTCAGAAGCCTTCAACAAGCACGAAAAAAACTTCAGAGAAGACTTGGCAAAGGTGCAACACTGGAGAGCTGCTTTATATCGCTGGGTGGACTTCGAAGGATAGGTAAGCATAATGATGTTTGTTTCTCAACAACATAACACAACTACCTTGTTATGTACATTTACGCATATTATTATAGAGTCCGATGATTTTTTATTTCCTTTTCCTTCTCTTAGGTATGAAACAGAACTTATCAAAGAAATTGTTGAGGCTGTGTGGAACAAAGTGTATCCTAGATTCACATGGTTATGTCAAACAGAGACGCTAATTGGAATTGATATGACGAAGCAACTGAATTTGCTTTTAGATACCGAGGCAAATGATGTTCGCTTTATAGGTATATGGTGGATGGGTGGGATGGGCAAGACAACCATTGCTAGACTAGTTTATGAGAGAATATCCCATAATTGTGGAGTTAGCAGCTTTCTTGCTAATGTGAGAGAGGTTTGTGCAACTCATGGTCTTCCCCATCTACAAAAACTGCTTCTTTCCACAGCCTACAAGGAAAAGTTTACAGAAGTTTGGATGAACAACAATGATAAAGATGATGCAGATCATTTAAACCAACTACAAACATAGGCTGGAAAGAAAGGTTGGTTTGGTTTGGGGAGCCGAATCATCATTACAGCTAGAGAGCAATGTAAGTATGCATGATTTAATACAAGAAATGGCATGGGAAATTGTTCGTCAAGATTCGTATGATGAGCCTGGTCGGTGTAATTGGTTGTTCCTTCGGAAAGACATCTTTCATGTCCTCATGAAGAAGAAGAATACAGTAAGTATGTATGCAAAGAAATTGACTACGGATGAATTGAAGGCATACTCTTATGCTTAAGCACTACATTAGGAAAGCTCTCCTTGTTCTAACCGGACCCCTTAGAATATTATGAATACTATTATGCCATCCTCATCTTTGATGACTCCTGATCATGGTCTAAAATATCCATAATATCCCGATATTTCCATCGAAATTTCCGTGTTTTTGGATTATCGATATTTTTTTGGACTACCGATATTCCGATATCATCGATATTTTAGACCTTGCTAAGTCACTCATGTATCTTACCATGCAATGTATAAAGTGTAAAATATTGTACTAATTCATTATATATAAATGATTATGGTGTGTTTAAACTTCTTTCATTAATTACTACATATTTTTTATACTCACAATGTTTGCCAGCTCGCTATATAATCAACTTAAATCAGTTATATCTATCATGCAATGCATTTCCTTCCAATTTTTTGTGATAAACTAATAGATAATTGATTAAATAAACATCATGCAAAGTTTCAATAAAAAATTTCAAGTTTTTCTTACAATTTCCGTGGTTTTTTATTCAATTTTTATCGATATCGATAATATCCCGATATTTTTATCGAAATTTTTGTGTTTTTAACTACCGATATTTCCGATATCATCGATATTTTATACATTGCTCCTGATTGAATTAGGACTTGGTCAAATCTACCCTTGATCCTCAAGTGTCCCTCATCAATTCAAGCTCGGCTAAATTATTTTGGGCCGGTTGCTTACTCAAAACGTGTCTAACCATGGGCTGAGCTTATAACGTTATTCGGCCCAAATTCATTAATTTGGGTCCAAACAGTTCTGCAGATGGATTTGTGGTCGTATATTAGTTCTTTTTATTGGAAGATCTTAAGTAGATATGTTGGAATTAGAAGATAGATAAAAATACAAGATTTTAATTTATTTCTAATATTTAAAAAAACATATAAATGAGTATAAAAGAAAAAAAAATGGAGAAAAAAAAAAAACTAAACTTACCTAATAATCATGTTGATTTTTTAGACCCAGATCTAAATACCCAAAAAAATAAAAAACCAAAATCAAAGCATACGTTTCTCTCTTTCTCCTTCTTACAGGTCTGTCGTCTTCAATTCTCATGATTTAATTGAAATAGAAATAGAAATAGAAATCTGGTGAGGTTTGATTGGATTTTTCAATAATGTGAAGTTCTTTATATCACAAGCACGTGTATGCATGCGAGAGTTCATGCACAATGTTGTGGAGAGGTCCAACTATCCGATGCACACCAACTAAAAGTAATGTTAATTTATAAAAGTAATGTTAATTTGGTTAAAGTATATTAGAATATCAGAAACGCTGCATGCACATCAACCAAGAAAAGGCGAAAATAAATCGAAACGCAGAAAACCAGTAAAAGTTTTCACGAAAAGTACTCATCTTGATCATTCCCTTTCTCTTTGCCTTCAAAGAATTTGGCACTACCCAACTACTTAAAACCCAAAGTTTCTCGATTTTACATTCAATCAACATTTTCAGAATTCCATGCACTAGCCGGTTCACAACTTCACAAATACTTAAGAATCACATGTAGATTATGTTGGATATAAGTCAACAATTTGTGATTTAAATATATATGCTAATAAACAATAAATGCAATAGGAATTAACAGAATATAAACTAGAATACGAATTATAAAAACAGACAACTTGAAGATCGAGGCTTGCGTACCGCAATGTCCTTAAAACAGAAATTTCGTTCCTACTTAGTGCTTGTAGTTCTACGGACGTCTGCTTCACCAGGATTCAACGATCTAAGTCAGAAATTCCAGCACCGAAAAATTGACTTCTGGCGAATATTAATGTGGTTCTCTTAGAAAGGATGTTTATGATTGCAGGAGAAGATTTATGATTTTTCTATGTTCTAAATGCCATGCAGATAGATGTATATAATGTGATTATACCTGTTCGCAACAGGTATGAGGAAGGGATGCATCTGTTGGGAGACATCTGCTAAAAATGGTGTTTTTGTTTCTGCATTTTCACACTTCAGACTTCATCTGAAAAGATGAGTCTGTTGGTAAAAATAATTAATTAATTAATTTAAATTCGAAATAAAAAATAATTAAATATATATTAATTACCAATTAATTAGTACACCACAAAGCCCAACCCCAAAAATGAGCCCAATTTTAGTCTCCAGGCCTATTACTCCAATCACTTTCTATAAAGGACAAAGCATTATAAAGTGATAAAATCTTTTGGGAATAGCCAATGTGGGACAAAGAAATTTCTACTCAAACTACTCAAATTTCCAACAGATTAAATACCCAAAAACAAAGCCTAAAACTTGAAAGTTAACAACAACCAAGTACCAAGTGATGGTAAGAGTTTGATTATTAGATGTTGGTTTATTGATAAATTTTAGTTTTATTATTAATTTCATCTTGTACTTAATGGTAATTATACAATAGGAAAAGAAGGACAATTCGCATTTAAGTTGGGTGTAAAATAAGGTTATATGGGATCAAATAAAAGTATTTGAGCATATGTGGGTCTGATGATAGTTCTTAGTATATGGATGATGCCTGCAATTTAGTTTGCTTTATTAAGAAATGATTATGCTTAAATCTATGTCCGGACTTTTATTTACAACCATGCACGCACTTGTTACATGATTATTTAGTTATTTTCGTCACTTAGAAAGAGATCGAAGGCTGTTCATTGATGGAATTTTGCTTAAACTATATTTCAATTTCTCAAGAAATTTTACAACGCATTGAGAGCAAGCTTCCTTAAAATTTCGTAACTATTAAGTTAAGTCTCTTTTTACGCGTTTATTTTTCCTTACCCAAAACAACAACTGTTTATTTATTTATTCAAAGTTGATGAGCTTGGGCAAATGTAGACCTAAGCAGTGAGGTCAGAGACTGTACTGGTGCAATTTTATAGAGATGCTTTCATTCTCAGCAATCAAATATTTAATCTTTTGTTTACTTTGTTGGTTCGATTGATCATGCAATTTAACAATTAAATATTATTTCATCATCCAAATAATTAAAATCATGTCGTCAGACTAATCACCATTACCACTACGCGCTTTGACATAAAAAAAAAGGTAAATTACAAAAAAACTACCTCAACTATTAGCTCATTAACAGTTTCATACCTCGTATTTAAAAAGTTTCAATGTCATACCTTATCTTCAAATTTGTTGCAATGTCATACCTTCCGTCAGTTGACTGTCAGTTCCTTAGTTAAATGCTGACATGATATGAGACGGGCCCACTTTTTATTAAAAACTTAAAAAAAATCATTTAATATTTTTTAAATATTAAAATAATAATTAATTAAAAAAAACCATCAGTTCGTCTACTCCCTCCCCCTTCTTCTCTTCTCCCCCATCTTCATCTTCTTCCCCCGACACCCCCCCCAACCTGCAACCCAGAAAAGAAAAAAAAAAAAAAAAAAAAAGTTTGTCTTCCCCCCTCCTGCTCCTGCTCCTCCTCCCCCTCCCTTTCCCCCATCTTCATCTATTACCCCTGACCCCCTACCTGCAACCCAAAAAAAAAAAATTCAGTTTGTCTTCCCCCCTCTTCCTCCTCCTCTCTTCTCCCCCATCTTCATCTTCTGCCCCCGACCCCCTACCAGCAACCCAGGAAAAAAAAAAAAACCTAGATCTCGTCTAATGCCATCGCTGGGAAGAGGGTGGGTGCGGGGGGAAGACGAACTTGGTTTCTTTTTTCTTTTTCTTTTCTGGGTTGCAAGTGTGGGGGGGGGGTCGGGAGAAGAAGATGAAAATGGGGGAGAAGAGAAGAAGGGGGGAGGGGGTAGATGAACTGATGGTTTGTTTGTTTTTTTAATTATAAATTAATTATTATTTTAATATTTAAAAAATATTAAATGATTTTTTTTAAGTTTTTAATAATTTTTTAATAAAAAGTGGATCTCGCCCCATGCCACGTCAGCATTTAGCTGAGGAACTAACAGTCAACTGACGGAAGGTATGACATTGAAACAAATTCGAAGATAAGATATGACATTGAAACTTTTTAAAGACGAGGTATGAAACTGTTAATGATCCAATAGTTGAGGTAGTTTTGTAATTTACCCTAAAAAAAAAGAACCCATCTCTTCGTCGTCTATTCCTACTTTGGTGTGAATGATTTTGGTGTGAAGTTATATTGATTTTGGTATGAATGATTATGCACGAAACCTGCACAAAATATGCACGTCGTATGCACACATCGGGAAAATTTTGTGAAATTTCTCCAATTGAATTGAAACACAAATTGGAACATATATACTCAGTATTGTACCGCGTCAAAAATCAAATTTTTTTTTCCACACATTACTGTAAACTCAGTTGACATTAGTATGAGGGCCTTGGAATTCTCTTCAAGACTAGGCGCCAAAAGGAATGAGACTTAGCCCATTATTTTAGGGTTTAATATTTCGAAAATGCACCATATTCATATTAGTGAAATCCCAAACAATAAAGTGCAAATTGGATAGCAAATTTTACCTTCCATGCTTTGTTTCTAAATGGATTGGTTGGCAAACTAGTTAGCAAATTGACAAGACAATGTAGATGCAGTGTAGATGTGGTGTACATGACCCTCATGTCTTGTTCTAACCTACTTGAGGTGTGCATTGCATTCAATATGTGTAAGATGTGTTTTTCCCTCGTGTCAACTCATAAATTTTCCAATGTTTAATAATAATATATTACAAAAGTAATGGGTTTTAATTAATGTTTTGTTTGGGTACTTAATTTGACCCAAAAGAGTTTTGGAAAATGTTAATTTTACCAATTCTAGATTATATGTTTTCAGTATTCAAGACGCATCATGCAATGTGCATATCATGATCATAGGAGATCATTCAGTATGCTTAGTATGTGGATATAGTGCGCATGCTTTGTGCATATAATGTGTATGCATTGTATACGTAGGGCGACTATCATTAATTTACTTCTGTAATGGTATTAGTGGTTTGGTTTTTGAATTATTACATACATCCTCTAATTTCAAAGGGAGAAGTTTTTGGTATCATTAACAATGTTTGCTTTCTTAAAT